CTGAAGCTGGCAGTGGAGTCTCTGCCCCTCCCAAAGACTTGTACCTTCCAGACTTTGAGCGTCTTCCCTTCTAGACTTTCTCATCTCCTGGTGAGATGTTTCCCACTTATGCCGTGGTCCTGCCCTGAGCCCCTTGCCCCACCACCTCCCACCAGGGCCAGGCAGAGAAGGGCAGCTCCTAAGAGCCACTACACTGTGTAACCATTACTGTAACTGCTACCTTGGTGCCTCAGTTTACCCATCTGTAAAACGGGTAAGCATAGCCATTGGTAGGATGCTTTGGGATATCAAGGGGCAGAGGCAGAGCACAAGTCACACCAGAAACTACTTTTTATACATTTTGTACAAAGACAACTTGGGAAACGAGCCTATTTCCTCCAGCGAGTTTCAATGAATGCTGGCACTGCACCACATGCTATACCAGGTCAGCATGAGAATTTTCCAATAAATCTTTTCTGATACTAAAATTGCTTCCTTTTATATCCAAAGGTCCACCCTAAGCTGAGGGAAGAGAAGACTGGGACCTGAGTTTCCTGCAGGAAATCCCCAAGTCAATGTGGGATCTTTACAGTGAGGGATCTTTACAAGGCAATGGGGACAGAGAGAGCAAGTTCTAGCCTCAAAGAAAGGATCCTGGACAGTAAACGTGCTGCTGCATCTTTCTTCTGAGGCTTGCCCACCCTTACAAAGCAGCTACATCCTTAATCACAGGTATTTTTCAGTGTGCAGTGGCTCACACTGTTTCTTGCAGCAGAGGGCCCAGGGCTCCTGGAGCCTCTACCACCAGCGGTAGTGGGCCAGGGCACGGTTGGCCTCAGCCATCTTGTGCAGGTCATGCTTCCTCTTGACCACGGGGCCCTGGTTATGAAAAGCCTCCAGCAGCTCGTGTGACAGCTTCTCCGGCATTAGCGTCCGCCGATGCTTGTTCTCCCGGCACTCAGTGATCATCCACTTCATGGCCAGGAAGCGGCGACGTCGGTCGGGTAGGGATGTAGGTACCTGGGTGAGAGGACATAGGCAAGTTCGTCCAAGAGTCTGCCAGGCTTGGGGCTTACACGTTCCCTTCGGGTCAGGCCTGGGGAGAAGGGCCTGTCTTTTCTTCTCTGAGCTTCCCTCACCTTCAGGTGAGCTCGATGTAGCAGATACAAGAGGCATTCATTAAGCACTGGCTTCTCCAGGCACAGTGGCTCACACCTATAATCCCAGCACTTTAGGAGGCTGAGGCAGGAGGATGGTTTGAGCCCAGGAGTTCAAGATCAGCCTGGTCAAAATAACAAGACCCTGTCTCCATATACATTAAAAGGAAAAAAAGCACTGGCCTTTTCCTCTCCTAAATGGTAGTCCTGCCAAGTTGTTGTAAGAACCAAATGGGAAAAGCCCCATTAGCTGGGGTGACTTACCCACCTCAGACCATAGGTACCTAAAAACAAGACTCCTTCAGTATCTATGAGAACAGTTAAAGAAGGCCAAGGCAGGTGGACCGCCAGAGGCCAGGAGTTCCAGACCAGGCGGGCCAACAAGGCAAAACCCCATCTCTACTAAAAATACAAAAAAATTAGCCAGGCGTGGTGGTGGACACCTGTAATCCCAACTACTGGGTGGGGGAAGTTGGCAGCTGAGGCAGGAGAATTACTTGAACCCGGGAGGTGGGGGCTGCAGAGAGC